GTTTCCACTCCTGGCTGGTGGGCCAACATTGTGACCTTGGTGCTGCCGATCGCCATCCTGCTGGTCCTCTACTTGCAGTCCGAGAAGCGCAAGTACAACGAGAAGATGGGCATCTGAGTGGCCACAAGTAGCGTTGGTCAGGCTTGATTTTGACTGATTTTTGTGTATGACTGTTGAATGCCGCGGATCAAGTCAAGCCTGATGAAAACAATGCGTGTCAGTTCCGAACTGTTCAGCTTTGCAGTGTTTCAGGTTGGGGACAGGCTGGCACCCGAACTGTCCAAGAAACATGTACCAACCTCACCTCATCCCGACGTCAAGCGCGATGATAGGAAGTCCGTTGGCCTGGCGTTCGGGGCAAACCATGACCATTCACGGCCCGACCAGGGATTTGAATGGTCCCAGACGCAAACAACCTCAAACAACAAACCGTTGAGACGACCCAAAATTCTAGACTCTAGACTGTTTTATGGGTCTTGGGGCGAACGGCCACACAAACACCTCAACAGCGGCTTCTCACCATCTTCAGCTCCTCCGCCGCGACCGCAACTTAGCACCCCAACCACCTAGAAAGCACGAAACCCGCGCCTGCGGCGTCTAGGCGTTGCTGAACTGCTCCTGGCCGGTGCGCCTGGTCGCACAGGGTCAGCCCTTGTGGCTCTTTGGGCGTTTGGAGGGCGCGCTGGCGCCGCGCCCCGAGGCGCGGAGACCCGCGGAACCCCGCGGAACCCGCCGTTCGCCACAAGGACGAGTCTCGTTGAAACGCTCGGAGTGAGAGGTCTTCACTTCCGCACCCAGAGAGGTCTCCATGTATGGGGTGGTGCCAGGGGGGTTCGATGTAGCCATGTATATGGCAGTCCCACTAGTCGTGTTTGGGACAGGAACATGAAGACAAAAGGCCACATGAAGACACTCCGGAAAACACGTGGCCAACTGGCCGTCCAGTTCCCACAACCCCTTGGTTCTTGGGGACGCTGTTCCTGCAGACATGGCAAGCCCTGGTTTTTGTTCGCCAAAAGCCCCGTCACGACACGTGCAGAACCTTTGCTGCAGCATCGGTCCTCGCATCCTGCAGCCACAGTGCTCCACGAGTGATGAAAAGGAGGCTACGTTTGGCTTCCATTGTCTTATCCATTTTCCTGCTCCACTGCCTTCCCCACGCGTCACTCGCTGACAGATTTGGCAATAGGAAAGGCTTGTCAGATTTGGTGCAAAAGTGGGTTGTTGTTGAGGAGATGTATACCAAAGGGGAGTAAGCACGAAAGCGTTGGATCTGAACTTCTACAAGCTAGTTATAAATAGAATTCACGAAGCTGGCATTTGCAAGGAATCGGGTTCAAGGTTTTGCTGGTCTTGCATGTTTGATTCGTACCTTTTTGACATCGTGCCCGCGTGGCCCAGGTTTTCTGGTGTGACACGGCAGCTGAACTCTCGCCGGAGGGCAGCCATGGCGTAGCTTGGATTGGTCGAGCATCGCGGAAGAAGCGAGTTACCAACGAGTTGGAAGTGTGAGGATCACTTGGGAGGGTCACCTAACTTTGGGAGGGACATGGGGGACCCTCCACTCCATGAGAACTTGGATTTATACTTGGCCTTGATGTTCCGATCAGCGGAGGGCAAACAAAAACACACAAAACTATGAGGCTATGACTGAGTGCGTGCACCTGACAGACAGGGGTTTTGTTATGTTTTGTTGGGCTGAGTGGGGTGGCTGTGGAGACTGTTGAAAGGTTCATAGAGTGTAAGTAGTAGTCTACAGTGACAGATAAGCCAACTAGTGATCTGAGAGTGAAGGAGAGGACATTTTCGAGGATGCATGAGTGGAATGAGACGGGGATCGCCCTCAAAAGAGTTCAAGAGATGTCATCCATCTTTTTCTGCACAAACATCGCCCGGGCTCTAGCTTCTACCAGGGCTCTGGCTGGCTCTAGCTGTCCAAATGGTGCAGCCATCGAGTGTTCTTTATTCTGGTCTGACCAGTCAGTCTTTCGAGCACTTGGAGGAAGTTTGTTGGCTGAAAAGGCAGATAGACATAGCTATAGACCCCATGAGAAGACTTATCACAGACATATCTGCAGGGTTCTGCTACAACCATCACGGCCCGACCCCTGAAAGCCAAAAAATATAAACCATCCATCCAACTTGAGGAGCGATCGGACGCTACGAACGGGGCTCCTGGCCTCGCTACGAACGGAACAAGGA